CAATTGGAAATTCTCCGGGAGATGCGCACAAACAACGCTTCTATGAATGAACGCATTGATGCACTCTCACATGAGATGGCCGCTATGCGAGCTCATTTTCCTCCTCCCGATCCTCCTACGGATGCTTGATTATGTGTTATGCTTTAGTACTTTGAACTTAAAGCTTATTGTTTCAACATTTTGAATGTTTTTGGATTTTTTTTACTTTGGTTGTTGGATATTTGAACTAATTTGATGAATTATGGATGTTTGAACTTATATTTCTATATATTTGGTTTGGTTAAATTTATTATTGCATCATTTACATCAATTAGATATATGACCAATTTTACCATGTCACATTGTTTATGAATATTGATTATGAAGCTAATGGATAACGTTTCTCTTGATTGTGTTCTTAGGAGCTTAAGTTATATCTATTATAATCAATTGGCTAAGTACCTTTCAAAACCTTGTTTACAATTCTTTTTTAAAAAAATCTTTTTGATTTAACAAAAAGGGAGGGAAATATGTTAAAAGTGAGAAGTGTTAGAGTAAGGGGGAGTAATTTCAAACTTGATTTCAAAATAAAATCTTAAAATTACTAAAATGTTTTGTTATATAAAAAAGGGGGAGATTGTTGAAAACATTTTGATATTTCGATATAACAAATTAAGTTAAATGAATTTTAAGATTTTCCAAAAATATTTTCTAAGTATATTCGATATAATTATTCGAATATCAAAATATTACTCCAAATCTTTCAAATGTCATTTTTAATCCTTAATCAAGTGTAAAATTAAGTTTTAATCTTAAAATAATTTCAAAACAATTTTACAAAACATTTCGAACCATTTCAAAGCAAAAAATTCCATATTTCTCAGAGGGACCCGATTCCCCCCCCCCCAAGGGGGTACCGATTCCCCCATGAATGGTTTGGCTCCGAGAAAAATAGAATGCTCGGAGGGAACCGATTCCCCCTGTTTAACGGTCGAAATATTTGAATTTTACACTTAGGCAACCGATTCCCCCCACGCTCCAAGCAGAAATATTAATTGTTTTCATACTTAAACGGCTCTATTGACTCCACTAATCATCCCCAACGTTTAGAATCATTTGAAGGTGTATTTAAACAAGCTTAGAAGCCATTGATCAAAAAAAAAGAAACAACAAGCAACAAGAAATCATAGAGAAACAAGAGAGAAAGCATCAAACACCAAGTTTGTGCAAATCAAGCCAATTTTCCTTTCAATATTCATTTTTCTTTCAAGAACACCATTAGTTCTCATTTGTAATTATTTTTTAGTGTTCTTTTCTTGTTCTAGAATTGTGCAAACATCTTACCTTGTGAGGTTTTCCTTGTAAGTTTGCAAATTTGTGTATTTCTCTTTGAAAAAGAGTGTGCTCAAGAATTTGGGGTATAATTCTTGAGAGAGTTGTAAGGTTACTCTTTGTCCTCAAAAGAAAGAACAAATTAGTGAATTTGTTGGAAAATCCTTAGTGTGGATAGCTAAGGTAGTGGACGTAGACTTTGGTTGAGAAAGTCGAACCACTCTAAATCGTTGTGCAAATATCTTCAATTTTCTGCAAAAGCTTCCACCAAAATTTTAATTGCCATTCACCCCCCTCTTGGCCATTTTCATCAATCGATTAACTCAACACATTCTTTCCACACAGCTGGAATTGAACATGTGGTCGTCCACGGCCACAACCTCCCATTCGACTTCCAGAGCCAGATCCAGACCGTCCATAAATACGATCATGAACCCCCATGCTTTAGAGTCTTTGAACCAGATCCAGTCTGAACTATATGAGCACTCATCGTAATAAAATCGTCTTGAGAATCAAACCCAACAAGTTGAGTTTCTGAATTAATCAACATTGAACATATTTTATCAAGAGATAATGCATCTTTCATGGTGGTTATGAACGCGATATACGATTGATACTCTCAGAGAAGACCTTTCAAGATGCTTGGAACATGCTCGGCCTGAGGAATCACATTGTCACATGATAGTAACACATCACAGATCTCTTTAATACGGGTAAAATATGTATGCATGTTATCATTCCCTTTCTTGAGGGACTGAAGCTTGTATTGGAGACTGATAACCGTTGTGGTAGATCGGTTTGTAAAAAATTACAACATCGTACATTATACTGACACTGCCGTCTCCACTCCAACAAACTATGATAGCAAATGGGGGTTGATCGTGGATAGTAACCAAGAGGCCAGTGCACTATCTTGTGCAACATAGTCTTCATACAGCTCATTCGACACCGGTTCACCATGCTCATCCACCACCATTGTAGGAGGAGGTCGAACAGATCCAGCTAGCAATTGTTCTAGTCGATGACTATGAACAGTCAGTAGAATTTGTTGCTTCCAAAGAAAAAAAATTGGACTCATAAATAGTAATATTCACCTTCTTGTTTGTGAAGGCCTTACGAGTAGGAAACTCCATCAAGAAGATGATGCAGCAAGCAGAAGAAAACCTCATGAACAAACAATGAATGATACTATGTTAAATCTAGCAGACACACTAGATCTAGAAGAAACTGAGGGAAAACGAAAAGTGTTTATTGAATTAACATGCCTTGTAATCTACACAAGTGTGGTACTTATAGCTTAGATGTAACAGAAAGTTTAACAGCTTCTAAAACCGTTACAACAACCTAACAACCTCAATTTGCATATTAACAACATGCATTATCAGCTCTTCAACACACATGCGTGGATTACATGCATGGACTACATGGAGTGTCTCAATATCGATCGTCTTCGTTATTATCGAACAATCATTCGCTCATCATTGGATCTCTACTATCGATCATCTCTCTTGTCGTCATCTTAATCCTTTAAATCCATATACATAATATTTAAATCTCTAACTTTAATATGAAATTTATTATTGAAATATGATTGATTGAAGCAGGTAAGGGGTGGATAGTAGCATCTTAACTTGAAATTATTTAACCTAAAGTTGTTTGGGCATGAAATACAAACTATGCTTCAATTATTCTTGGGTACTGAAATATGATTGAGTGAAACATGCAAGGGTAGGATGCGAGGTCCAACTTCCAAGCAATGCCCAAGCTTGGGTTAAACAAAACAACCGCCAAAGCAATGACAATGGGTAAGTGATTGTTCGGCCATCACAATAGTAATAATAGTGGTTAGTAATAACGAATAATAAGGGTTAGAATGAGGAACTTTAGAGTTTTCAAGGCTTTTTTATATTTTTAAATTCTTTAAAAATAATTTTTTAAAAATATATAAATATGATGTATATCAGATATTAATTTTTTAACTGCCGTGACAATCCAATCACTTAAAATTGTAATGGAGAAAATGTTAATACTTATTTTGAATGAAAATTCTTTAGGCACTTAAAGTTAACTTTAGGTATAGTTTAAATACTTATTTTATGTTGGCTTAAGGGTCACTATTGCCCATGTAGTAAACTTTAATTTATCATTTTAGCCCATATTGTATTTTTCATCAATTTAACCCTCAAAGTTATCTATGGTGTTCATCTTAGCCCTCGAAGTACGTTTACTATTTTTTAGTAACAGAATTGTGAGTCTTGTGTGCATGTGGATTAAAAGATTAGGTTAAAATATTTATTAAACACACGGGCTATAACAAATTCCCAAAATTTTATTATTCATTTTTGTGAGATTAAGGGATTAGGTTAAAATTTTTGATATTTTTTCTTCTAACCGTTGTATTTTGTAAATATTTTAAATATTTTATTATTTTTTTTAATAAATGTCACAACATCATCAAGTCAAGTCAATAATATTTTGTTGATCCAAAAATTGCTAGTGTTGAAAAATACAGAAGACTAATGGTTTTGTTAGTCAAAACGAACTTCGAGGACTAGGATGAATTCAATAGACAACTTCGACGGCTACATTAGGATTGTAAATGAGACGAGACAAATCGCGAGTTACTCGAGATTGACTCGATCAAGGCTCAATAAATACTTGGATCGAATGGACTCGAGCTCGACTTGAGTTCTTAACGAGCCGAAACGAGCTACTCGATATTCAACTCGAAAAGCTCGTGAGCAGCTCGAAAAAATTTTATATTATAATTTTAGATTTTTAAAATTACATTATAAAAAATTTATTAAAAATACATTATTGATAATTATAAAATTTTAAAAATATATTAAAAATTCTATAATACAATTACCCTCAAATTTTAATTTTTTTTAATTAAGCAACCCAAGTCCAATTGTTACATTGTATATTACAAAAAGAAAAATAAAAGTCCAATTAATTAATCACATGTTAGAGTACACCCTAAACTCTAAACTCTAAACTATAAACCCTAAACCCTAAACCTCAAACCCTAAACCCTAAACCTTAAGCCCTAAGCACTAAACCCTTAATCCAATTATGTGATAGGATACTAAAATAAAAATAAAAGCCCATTTAATTAAGCACATGTTAGATTACACCCTAAACTTAAACTATATACTATAAACCCTAAACCTTAAGCCTTAAACCCTAAGCCTTAAACCCTAAACTCTTAATCTAATTATATGATAGAGGTTAAGTTATGCACATGATAATAGTGCATTACATACAGTGATGGATTGGATCTTGATAAAAAAAATTGGGGACATACTTAATATTTTTTAAAAAATTATAGAAATATAAATTAGATTTTTTACAAATTTTTAGTCTTGATGAGATTTAAAAAACTTAAAAGGGGATTTAATTAAAAATATTTAAAAATTTTAAATTTAATGAGAATTTTAAAAGGAACAAGATGCCCTTTTTGGAAGATAGAATGTTATATAGTTAGGGACATCAAAAAAATCAGTACCCAACGGATTTGATTCGATCTAATAAGATCAGACTTTTTTATTTAAAATTTGGATTTCGGGTTGGATCAAGTTAAAGTTTAAGAAAAACCTGTACTACTCTATGATAATTATGAAAAAAAACACTTTCTTTATGTATTAATATATTACTAGTTGTATAGCTTATTTGGAAATCCACCTTAGCTACATCAACATGTATATTATCAATTTCTTCTTGAAAATCCAACCACCCACTAGAGGAACAATGGGCTTCTTCTTCATCAATTTCGTCTCTCTTTTCCCTGCAAAATACCCTTCTTTTTCACCTATACTCAGTATCTGAGACAACGTCGGGTTATTCTCCTTTCGTTTCATCAACTCCTTTCTTCTAGCTTCTTCACTCGCTATATCTTCTCCCTTCCCCATCTCCAAACTCACCGTCCTCGGCATCGACGTAGTATCCGCCGCCTTTTTAGCTGCAGCATCCTCGGCTATAGCCAACTTCGACATGTTTTTATGGAGTTCAGCGTTTAATGAAGCCAACGCAATCTCTGTTTCGGATTCCCTTTCCTTCAGCAGCTTCAGCTCCGCCTTTGTTTCCTCGAGCTCGGTCTCGAGCTTCTTTAAGGTATCGATAACCTCTCGATGATGGGTATTATTCTCTCGTTGATCATCTTCTTTACGATAGGACTTTGCTGGTGGCTGATCCGAGAAGGTGCGAACCCAAGAAGTTCGGTGGAAGAGGTGCCAGGGCAAGGTTCCAGAAGAGTTATCATTGAAGAACTTTTCTGGTTTGTTTGGGAAGCTTAGTTTTGTTGCGTTTAAGGTGATACTGTGTCTGCCTTCATTTTGAATCAAGTTTTGTCATGTTTGTGGGGGTAAAATTAGCCATGACTGAGCATCATAATTTAAATGTTTGTGTTGCTTTAATCTTAATTTTGACTCATGCATCAGATTCCTTTGGTTTTCAAAAAAAAAAATGAAAACAATCCCAGTATCCCACATCGGTAGGTTTAAACCAGCTTTGCGCTGGGGATATTATAAAAGTCGAGGCTGGTTGAAAACAACTTTCAAATCCCCTCTTTGACCTCAAGCTCAAAATCAAGCTTGAATCGAGCTTGAATCAAGTTCAAAATTGAGCTTGAATTGAGCTCAAAATCGAGCTTGAATCGAGTTCGAATTTTGAGTTTCAATCGAGTTCTTGAATATTTTTTGAGTTTGAGCCTTTTCGAGTTCGAGTCGAGTTTTAATATTTTATTTCGAGTTTGAGTCAAGCTTGATAATTTTTAACTCGCAAGTTTTCGAGTCGAGTCGAGCTTACTCTTAAAGTTTTCGAACTCGAGTCGAGCTTAGCAATACTCGAGCTCGACTCGGCTCGTTTACACCTCTAGGCTACATTGATACAAAAAATGATATGGACAAAAATGGTAAATTGAGTTCACTACAAGAACAACAGTGACCCTTTTACCTTTTACAATAATACTTTATTAAATTATGTTATCAAATTTTTATGTAAGTAGAAGAGGCAAGTTGATGTTTATTAATTGGTTGATTGGTCAAAATATTTATGTTGTCTTACTTTACATGTGTTTGAATCTCAACATTTACCTTAAAATAGAATACATTTTTACTTAATCAAAAGAAAAAGAATAAGAATTTGGTAGTTTATTAAGAAAGTATAAATATTTAAAATTAGAGTAAATCACACATTTAATACATAAACTATCAATTTTTTTTATATCTTCTAGTATCTAAATTTCATTATTATCAAAATTCTATTTAACGTTTAACATTTAGATTTTGTTTCCCTGCTATTAAAAACTTACATACTGTTGTGTCACTTTTGAATTATTTTTTAATTTTTAAATCATTGTTTATATTACTGTTTTATCTTACCAAAAAAATTGGTGAAAATTTTTATCGATCGTCGTGTTTACAGTCATCGATTGTCGCATCCGTCGTTGATATAGCTCAAATTTTGTAGCTTGTACCTTTTCAATCCCTTGAACACAATTTCGACCTTTGTTTCTTCAGGAAATGCCTCAAATCTACTCAAATCAATGATGAATTCTTCGATTTTTTTCATCCTCAAATCTCTATGATCCATAGTCTGATGGGCTTGAAACTGGATTATGTTGGTCGACTTGTCATTCTCTCGTTATCCACTGTTCGAATTGATTGTCCATCCACCAGAATTATCACCGTTGGACCCTTTTTCTTTTTATTATTTTTGTTTCCTTTTTTTAACCGCAGTGACCACCGTAAGATAGCTCTGCTCCTGCGTTTGCACACTGTTTCGTTGCACTTTTACAATCTCTAGAGGGTTTTGGCATCAACGAGTGATGGCAAGGACAGTTCACGTTCTCTATTAAGATTCAAGACCTTTGCCCATAACCCGAGAACCCAAGCCTTCAACGAAACGAAGTCTGTTTATGAACCCTCATCGTTTTAGTTTTCGTGCATGGTGTCTCAAGAATCCACGTATAGGTGACCGTTCGCTAATCCAGGTTAAGGCTTCTTGGAATCTTACTATTGCTGCAATCCTCATTTCTTCTATGTTACTTCTTCCTTCAAAACCAGGTGATTATAAGAGAATAAATGGTCATGCCATTTGTCCTACTCTTTTAATACTTACATGTAAATGTTTTTTCGCAGTGTTCGAGTTTTCAAGCTACGAAGCATGTAATTTCAATGAGAAAGAGAAGCTACAAGTGGGTTTAAGGCCCCCAAGGTGTGTGAATAAGTGCTCAAGTTGTAGGTCATGCATGGCTACTCTGGTTATTCAGTCTAATGATAAAAGGAGACATAAAGCTTCAAGTCATGATGAAAGTGATGTTGATATCCATTATCACCTTTCCTGGAAATGCTGATGGGGGAATAAGCTATATCGTCCATAACCGTTTTCATGACCGTCCAACTTGCATTTTGGATTGCCCGTGTCCATCTCTACTGTTTCTCATAATCCCCATCATCCAATTAAGGGAAACCCAAAATCAAAATGTTTAAAAGCTTGATGATGAAGAAAACAAAACAAAAGATGATGAAGAAATAAAACAATAAAGAAATGTCAAACTATAGGTCAAAGAGTATTTCGTGTGATCAAACGATGCTTATGTCAGCTGGTTTAACATGTCATGCCACAATTCGGTTAATGCGATAACATTTATTAACGACAAGTGATCAATTTGTTATAAGTCAATAATATTGGTGACCAATTTGTCACTTTTGAAACTTCAGTAGAAAAAACAAAAACGCACTCAAATATGAGTGATCATTTGTATAGTTTACCCTTATATATTCTTTAAACATTTATCTAGCTCGTTTTATCTGACCCTCCAAATTCTAATTGGCATCAACTCATTCAGTAATTTTATTATTTATAATATTATATTCTGAAATTGGTCAAGCATGACTCTATGACCCAATGGATAAGTATACGAACCAGAGATTCTTGGTTTGATCCCCAGCGGATTCGTTATTTTTTTATATGTAAATTACATATTTAGTATTTAAATTATTAATTTTGATATATTTTAATACATAAACTTTTAATTTTTCTCAAAATCATATATAAAATTTTGTTTTTATTTCATTTTAATGTCCCATTTAAAACGTTAATTTTTGAAAAAAAATAAAAGTTTAAGTTCTAAAATGGGATAAAATTGATATGGTTTTCAGAACCAGACCGGTTAGCGAACCAGTCATACTACCGGTTAACTGGTTCAACCGATCGAATCGGTTCAACCGGTCGAACCGGTCCTACCGGTCGGAAGAACCGGACGACGTCATAATTATTTAAAAAATTAAATAAAAATACCAAAAATATTTAATAAAAAATAATTTTTTATATCACAAGTCATATTCAAAGCAAGTCATAACATATATAAGTTAAAAACCATAAAATCAAGTGAAACAAAATGATTCAAATTAACTACAACATAATATTTAAGGTAAAACATATTAAATAATAAATATAATTATATAACTATAATTAAAAAATAAATTTGGGGTTAAAAAAATCATAATAAAATGATATTGTTTGGTTTAATTTTTTTTTAAAACAATCCCACATGGCTAAGAAACATAGAAGAGCATCCCAAAAGTCTAAAAAGTAAAAATATGAGAATAAAACAATCTCACATTGCTAAGAAATATAGAAGCGCATCACAACTAACTTCTATAAATAATAGATGTAATTTGGCATTCAAAATCATAGAGTCTTTTGGTGAGCATTGAGTGAACTGTTCTTTCACTTCAATCAAGCTCGAATTTTAGGCTTCAATCGAGCTTCTAATTTTTTTTTGAGTTCAAGCCTTTTTGAGTTCAAATTTCAATATTATATTTCGAGTTTGAGTTGAACTTGATAATTTTTAGTTTGTGAGTTTGAGTTGAGTTGAGCTTACTTTTAAAGTTTTCAAGTTCGAGTCGAGCTCAGCAATACTCGAGTTCGACTTGGCTCGTTTAACAAACGATGTTGTTTGGTTAAATTTTTTTAAAAAAAAAACAAAAATCCCGGTTTTTCCCGGTTTTTTCTGGTTTTTTCCGGTTTTCAGTCGGTCCGGTTCAAACGGTTCAGCGGTTTTGGCCGGTTCACTAATAGCGGTTCAACCGATTTAGATTGAACCGGACTAAGCAACGGTTCTCGGTTGAACCGGCCGGTCCAGTCCTGTTTTCAAAACAGAGGGTACTAAACGCTTTAAGCTTTTAACGTCATTATACTAAAATCAAGCAAAAACTAAATGTTAGATATGATTTTAAAAAAATTAAAAAGTTTAGGTACTAAAATAAAAAAAAACTAATAATTTAAGTACTAAATGCATAATTTATCCTATTTTTCTTCACTTTTACGTAATGAAGAATCACCAGTTGAACGAAAAGTTCTATCGTGTAGCAGCCTTAATATACGGCTAAGGAAAGGCGCTATCGGTTTTGTTATTATTTTTTAACAAAACCGGTAAAGAATTACCTAAAACATTATTATTTCTACCTAAAACATTAATGTTTTTTAACATTTCCGGTAAAATATTCAATAATAACAAAACCGATAGAAAAAATAACAAAATCGGTAGCGATTTATCAGATATGTTAACAAATTGGTAAAACGCCCAATAATAATAAAACCGATAGAAATAATAATGTTTCCGATAATTTTTTACCGATCTTATTAAAAAATAATAACAAAATCAGTAGCGCATTTTTTTAACCGTATATTAAGACTGTCGCATGTGAGAATTTACACAGTCGAACCAAGCTTAAGCTTATAATAAGTGCAAACTTTAGAAATTTCCTTCTCCTTTTGGGATGGTTAAAACACCTGAAATTGATGGGTTTTGACCCGACCCTATACAATCTTATAAGGACATTTTTTTCTTTTAAATTTTGAGACTCGAAGCGGAGTTGAAAAAGTTATATGATATAAAATTTTGGGGTAGATTGGGTTCGGATTTTAGGTGGAAAATCATCGGTACAACCTGATCAGATTAATTTTTATTTATATACATATTATATTTAATATTTTAAGAAATTTTTTTTTATATTATTAAAATATAAAAATTATTATAAAAGGTATTATTTTAATTATTTAAAAAAATTAATATATTCAAATCGGGATAAGGTCATAATTTTAATCTAAAATTTGAAATGAGTCTAAAGCAGAAAAAAAAACCTAAAATTTTTCAAGACGGAGTGGGATAAAGTTTTAGGTATATGTTTTCTACTCTTTTAATAAACTCTTCCAAATTAACAAAATCAAACTCTAGAAATTTCATCCTCCTTTTCACATTTTTTTAAATGAAGTTGTATTTTTATCCACTTATATTCTATTTATTTGATTAGTAAATATAATCATTATATTTTAAATTTTGTTCATGTAAATAATATATATTAAAAACTTTCATAATTCTTTTGATAAATTTTTTTTACCATTAAATAAATTGATAAGATGATATTTTTACTTGATGTGATAAAAGTTTCATATTAATTTATTTTTTTGATTAATTTGAAGTAAATACAAGACAATATATGTTCAAAGAAAATATTCAATCTTTCGACATTGAACGTTCACACCTCTAGCATCTATAATACTCGAACTCGAGTTCTCAAAGAATAACAACAATTCTTTTACTACGGATGCCACTTGATTTGTGCAGTTTCATATTAATGTTAAACTTTATGTATATTGAAAAATATAAATATAATAATAATTATAATTATAACAATTCCTAAGGGTCCGTTTGTTTCACTGAAAACAGTTTTCGGAAAATGAATTCTGAAAAATGAATTATATTTTCATAAAACATTTTCTAGAAAATATTTTACATTGTCTTGATGCTGCATTGTAAAATATTTTACACTGTTTGGTTAGATTTCCTGAAAACAATTTACGAAATCTTTTTTTTGTAAAAATGTATATATTTTTTATATTTTTCTTGTTATTTACCTTTTAAAAAAATTTAAGTTATTTTTATAAAATTGTATTTTATAAAATTTTGAAATTAAATGTTTTATTTCTATAAGTACACCAAATTAAATTTGTAGATAATATAATAATTTATGTTGATTGTGTTATAAATACACAATTTTAGGTTTGAAGTATTCATGATACTTTATTTATTAGCATTTTTAAAATTAAATTTTAACTTATAATTAATATTATATGTAGGTTTAATTGATATAATCTTGATAATGTATTAAAAATATATTATCAAAGTAAATAATTAGAATTACATCATTATTAAAACAACAATAGTAGTACATTTTTAATAGTAGTACACCACATTAAAAGTTCACATCTTAACTTTGAGGAAATTTTTGTAATAAGACATAAATATAAAAAGACGTTCAAACATGGATGAAAAGAAAAGAATAAAAAAAATTGAGTTTACTTAATAGGAAGGAAATATAGGAAGAAAGAAGGTAAGAGATCATCATTTTCTATTCTAATGTATTAAAATAATTCATTTGAAGTGTTTAGACGAGAAAAATGAAGAAGTTAAAAGTAAAATTTACATTTCATAATGTTCATATGTCACAATTGAACTTCCAAGGTTACATTAATTATTCTTCAAATATCGAAGCCTATGCTTCACTCCTTAGTATTGTAGCACGCTAAATACACAATGGGCTGAAAATTGAGGATCTACTTATACGAAAGCTTCCATATCTCCCGTAAATTAGAGGATGCGGTGGCTGGTTGAGACTTCTCCAAAAGACTTGCATTTACATTTGGGATGGTGAGACACCGGAGTACCTCAGCATTGAAGTCCTGAAAATGCATTTCAGCTGTACCCTAAAGACATAAAAATGATGATGAAATTTTACCAAATACTCCCATCACAACATAGTTTGGTCAAGTATGCATGAATTTACTATGAGACAAGAAAATATCCCAGGAAGTTCGTGGCCACATTCAAACTGAAAACAATTAGATGAAACTCATCAAACAGAACAAGCCAAGATATTAATGATATCTATCTAGATCTATATTCACAAATTCAATATTTCAAGTCATAATTATTAGGAGTCAAATATATGAGAAGGACAACGACAGTTTCTTCAAGTCAAATTGTCCTGGTGATAAGAACTTAACCAGAAACCAAAGCTGAATAATATGTATGATAGAAATATTAGAACGTTAATAATGTATTACAAAAATTCATATGCGACTCTAGTAATATGTAATTACACTTGCCACATTCAAACCAGAGGGACTTGAAAAAAAAACAGCTATAAAGAATAAGCTACACTGATTTATGCAGAAAATCATCACACACATAATCAGTACGAAATAAAATTTCCCCTGAACAACATATGGGTGTTGGCCAGTATCCATGGTAACACATAAGTCAACTAATCGAGCTATTAGTGTGTAAAAAAAAAGGTTGGAAGTAAAAACTAATGACTTTGTGCAGGCATGAATTATTGTTCCACTTTGTTTTTTTAAGAATATTCAGTAAACACGTAGCAACATGACATTTCACTAGGGACCCTAATAATAACACAAACAATCTATCAAGTCGGTGAGGATGGCAATCAAGATTCCAGAAGTGAAGCCAATATCTCGGAGTGCCATTTTTGAGCCATATACAATCAATTAGAATTAGGAGTCCACCTCTAACAATCGTTTTCCCTCAAGTGATAGATGGTCATTTTGAATCTCGGATTGCAGAGCTTTAAAAATCTATCATCACCACGTGTTCGTTATATGAAAAGATGCTCAAAATGCATTCATCAGAATAAGAAAATCAATATGAGAGCCAAAAGTGAAGTATGGTAAAAAGATAAAAGATGAACATCATTACAAACCTTCATAGATTCCAGGGACTAAATCAGAGTTATGCAATCCAAGAACCTCATCAGTACTCACCCTTCCCTAAAGAATGAAAAACTTATAGCATTTTCGAATTTATAAAGATACTATCAATCTACAAGAGAACTTTGATAAATTTAATGGATTCTTATTCATTTCTAAAACTACTTCAATACAAGCTTCATTCTTGTTCTCTTTAATAAAAAGAGGTTCAAAGGTTCACCTTGAGTAAAGTAAGGCCACCTAAATTGACAGGCTCCATAGTGTAATTCATAGAAGAAGAAATCTACTTCAAATACAAAATCAACAAATTAAAAAAATGTTTACTCAAAAATCAAGGTTAAAGGCTATTAAGAGAGGCATTGAAATCTATATGTCTTCTTGTTGGGTTAATGTTGGAAGGTTGATTGTGGAAAGTGACTGTAAGTCGGCTGTGGAATGGGTCCATACCCCAGCTTTGGCCCCTGTTTTTATCCTCCCATTAGTTAAAGAGATTTCATCTTTTATCTCGGACAGGGTGCACTCAATTAGATTGATTCCAAGGGTGTGTAATGGGGAGGCTGATAGTTTAGCAAAGATGGGAATTGGTTGATGTTTAGTCGTTTCCAGTGTGTTGTATCGTTTGAGTTTTAGGTTTTTGGTTGTCTGTTGAGTAGCTTAGTCTGTTTCGTTTTTTCAGTATGGTGTTTATGTTAAATCTTATGTAATTTCGGAGGAGTAATAAAGTTTCTAAGGCACTCTTTTCCTCCTTCTCTAATCAAGAAGGAGGTTTTTAAGGAGGCCTGTCATTCTTATCAAAAAAAAAAATCAAGGTTAAAAGTTTAAAAATAGGAACCTCCGAGGAGAAGACTTCGATGGAGGGAGGAGGAGGTTGCAGCGGCAACTTCGATGACTCCAAGAACCCTAAACCCAAACTAGGTTTACCATCAAAAGATGAAAACAACTGAAGTTATTTGGAATAACTCTGATTTGCAAGGACAACAGAAACAATAAATCGAGGTTACAGATCTATCTCAAAGAATAAGAACCGATATAATGAAAATGAAGATGAAAAGAGAGATTTACCTTAGATGATGACCGTCCGCCTGAGTCAGTTTCGCCGATGAGAAGGAGTCCACTGAATCGCGACTGATTTTGGGTGTGGAGAGAGGGAAGGGAAAATGTGAAGGAGCGTCTAGAAAATGACTTACCCTTTTTCAAAGGGCAAGTTGTTTTACGGAGTTTGGGGGCTGATTTTTACGTTGACCGTAAAATAATTTACGTTAACTCCCCTCTTTTACTTCCAATCATAGGAAAACGGGAAAAACATTTTCCATAAAATGTTTTCCCAAACAAACGGAGCCTTAGATAAAAATACTAATGAAATCAATATATTATGAAGGGTGTCTATTGATACCTTAAAAATTTCTAAATAATTTTTTTTACGTAAATTTTTTGTATATAATATAAAAATAAAAATGAAACCCTCTTAAAAAAGTTTTCACACCTTTTAAAAATTGGTCTTATTTTTTTTTAAAATGTTTTATAAAATATTCAATATTGAAAAGAGAAAATAACCTCATTGACCAAAAATGCTTTATAATATACGATTTTAACCAATTTTTTTGGATTTGCCAAAATGACCAACTAAATCGCAATGCGATCGATGATTCGCAACACGATCTCCGGTATCGCAAATCAATTTCCAAATTCGTAACGCGAACTTCGACTACCGCAATGCGAACTTCGACTATCGCAATGTGAATATGTAAATCGCAATGCGATAGTCGACTATCGCAATACGAACTTGGACTATCGCAACGCGAACTTCAACTATCGCAATGTGAATATGTAAATCGCAATGCGATAGTTGACTATCGCAATGCGAACTTGGACTATCGCATTGCGATTTACATATTCGCATTGCGATAGTCGACTATCGCATTGCGATTTACATATTCGCATTGCAATAGTCCAAGTTCGCATTGTGATAGTCGAAGTTCGCATTGCGATAGTCGAAGTTCGTATTGCGATAGTCGAAGTTCGCATTGCGATAGTCGAAGTTCGCGTTGCGAATCTGGAAACTGATTTGCGATACCGGAGATCGCGTTGCGAATTATCGATCGCATTGCGATTTAGTTGGTCATTTTAGCAAATCAAAAAAAAGTTGGTTAAAATCGTATATTATAAGACATTTTTAGTCACTAAAATTATTTTCTCTATTGAAAAATCTAAAAACTTAAAATTTCCATACGTTAATATTGTAATCTATATTTGACACTGTAATCTAAATTTTCTAGTGCTCCCTTGAATAAAGAGTGAGACAATGTGTTAATTACATTACATTACCTTTACACTAATACAAATGTATATTTATTTATTAATATGTACATTAAAAAAATCGTTTAACAGACAGTTCTTTTATGTACATTAAAAAAATCGTTTAACAGACAATTCTTTTCTTAATTAGAGATTTTAATTGTATTTTCTTACTTATTTGAGATAATTATAAAATAGTATATGTTTAATTTTTTTTTTCATTGACAACATACATATATTATGTAAACAAAGTTCAAGATTTTAGTTGGAATTAAATACCAGTAATGATATAAAAGATAATATAGTAGAAGTGAATTATTATTGATGGATACAAGCCTTTCACTAGCTAACACAGCTGCAAAGATGGGAATGCTTCAAAGAAATGAAATATGAAAAATATTCCTTCCTTCATCTTATTTATATTGTCTATCGTTGGCTTTTTACATAATTTTATAAATAAAAAATTTGTGTAAGAAATGTGTTGTAAAAAAATATTAAAATGACAATTTTATTAGGAAAAGTTAAATATTACTTTAGGAAACTACAAAAAAAGATAGAAAAGAAAATATATCTAGTAAAAATTGTTAATTTTTTAAAAGGATAATTTAAGTGGGACAATTTTAAAATACAAAAGGAATAAATTTAATGGAACAAGTAGTATTAATTTTGGATAATTGAGAAAATAAAAAAATTGTCTAAAATATAAGACTTTGGGATTAAACCTTAAGCCTTGGTCTTAGCCAATGAAAGCAAAATTCCCCCACTATCCACAAAACCCTAGATTGATCCTTCACCCTACACCTTTCTAGCAATTTCTAGCAGAAAATAAGGATAAACTAAATTCTGAAAACTTGGAAATTTGTCTCGCAGAGGGGGTTGTATGTAGAGTTTCGTTAATATGAAGGGCTGAAAATGAGATTCTACCCAAAAAGTGTAAAATCATTAATTCACATTTGAAAATGAAACGTGATGAAAGCCGCCCAATCACAATTCAGCAAAAGATCGGTTCATTCTAGACCACATCTTTTAACTATGCCTCTTTACACGTGGCAGCTTATCTGCCACTCAATAATCACATCAGCATCAGTGGGTCCCAGTCCCAGTCCCATCCCCAAACTCTCTCTCCATTTCTCCCCCTGTTTACTGCAAACTCTTTCAATTGCTTCGTCATTTTGCCCACATTGTTTTTTCAAATCCAAAAAAAAAAGGATTAAAAATAACCAAAAAAAAGTTATTTTAATTTTATTTGTTTGGATATGTTTTCTTTTTCGTTGTTGTTTTAGGTTTTTCTTTTTCCTACTTGCTAGTGGTGGAATTGGCAATGCGTGGAGCAATTTTAGCGCGTGCCTTTGGTTCGGAATCCGGAAGTATATTTGTGATTAACAGCGGTTTCTTTAGATATGTTTGATTGGAACGAAGAAGAGGTAATTAGATCTAAACTTTTTGTTTCTCGATTTTTTTTTTTTACTTTTTTTATTCAATTTTTTGGGTATGTTGTTGCATAAAATATGTTTTGAACCTCTTGACCTTAAAGGAATTAGTATGTCAATCCATCAGACCAGTTGATAGTTGGTTTTACTTGAAGTATATTTAATTGGACATTTATGTTTGGATTTTTCTTTGAAATTGCCCTGTTCTCGTGTTCCATCTCTGTTTTTTTTCTCATTTGAATATCAAAACTAAACAGCACCTGTTAAGGTTTCTATTTAAGGAAATATTTTGGATTAATATTGTGTTGAAATGATCAATTATAATAACTGTAATCATTTCTTACATTTAAAAAAAATATGAAAATTGCATTTTCCCCTTGGAATTATTTTCATGTTCCATGCACCGTACTGTTGGGTTTGGTTTACTTTTGTTTGCAATAATATTATGTAAACTATTTCATAGGATTTTATTGTTAGAAACATGCTGTTATTTTTTTGTTTGGTTGAAATAAATGGAATTTTCAGGAAAACAGGGTTTTAGGATAAAGCAAATGTAATAAGCTGTACAAGAGTTGAGGAAAGGGATTTTCGTCGTTTGTGGATTATTCGAATAAATGAAGTAATTCGCGGAATGGGGGATATTATATAGTTATAGAATTCTAAGAATGGTTTTTGTCTAGAAATACGTGAAGGATGTTTTTATTTTGGGTGAAAATGGAGCATTGTTCTTTATAAGGTGAAATTAAACAGTCATAGTAAAGAACTTCTCCAGTACAGGAAATCACGACAGACAAGAATAAATATGGGGCAAACTAGTCCACCTGGTAAGCATATGGTTAATGTGCATTGGAGAGCCTCTTTCTTAATGGAGTATACAAGAGCTCCTTGGAGAACTTTTCCTACACTATATGTTTTACCTCTATGCCTGGTGTGTTGATTTTTGGAGTCCAGGTAGCATATACTTAGGGTGCCCTATATCTTCTTGACCACCCACTTAAAATATTTCCTGTTTCCTCCATCAAATAGTGATTGATCCTTAGGTTTTGAGTCAGTTAGCTTGTCCTCTGAGTGGAACAACTGTATGTAGTATTTTGTTTTATTTTTCTGATTTTATGCTCTTTATGCTTATGGAAAGTAGTGTTATCTAGTTTATGTTTTTGGGAAGGTTGCAGCAGATAAACGTTCTTGAGGACATTCATTTTTGGAATCAAATGTTGAAGGAATATTTAATGAATGCCAAGTGAGGTCAAGACATTTGAGCTGAATGGAAAGAATATTAAGAGACTTTGTGAAACAAATGAGGCTACATTAGAAGTTATTAATCATCTGGGTAAGAGGAGAGTTTGATGGTTTTTGGTCGTAATTTCCATCTAATAAATCTCATATCCTTGCTCTGTGGTGAAATTATAATTATTGCAAGTTATTGGTTTTAGAAAGCACCCAAAAAGAAAATCTAATCTGGCAGGCCCATTCACCCCGCAGCTTTTCCATGCCTTCAAATTGTCCTTTTAATTTTTTTTTGTTATTTTTGTTGCTCAAGGATATAAGTATACCTTCTTGGATGTGATATCAGTGGTAATGTGGAGCCTTTTTTTGTATTTTCAGCTAACAAATATAATATGGGATGAGGATGGTGAGACTGATGACCATATAGTACCTTATCAAGAGGGAAGTGGCAGCTGTCATAGTAAGATAGAATGGAGTCAAGAAACTGCAACCATAAGGTGTTCGGAGGAAAAGACACCAGGGGACACAGTTGATCTTCATGGAAAAATGTTGGAAGGCAGTTCTAGTTTCAATGCAAATGGAGGGATTGCCACCTCAGGATTTGCCATGGGCTCGTGGCCAGAGTTATCTTTATCTAATGCGGCAAAAACGGATAAGGATTCCATTGATAGCAAGGTCTCTATCAGTTTGGTCGAAGTAGCTAAATCTAGTTCGAATGATGGTAAGAATATTAGCTATTCAGAGTTTCAGACTAAAGCCAATATCATATTTATCTTTATTGTTTTGTAACTTAGTTATATACATTCTTTTTACAGGAGAGATGACTGAACTTAGTAAAGATCCTGAAATTTTTCAAAATTCGAATGAAGGTAAAGAACAAGGTGACTTTGTTGACTACAGCTGGGCTAACATTGGAAGCTTTGATGATCTTGATCGAATCTTCAGGTAAGCAATAATTTAGATCTTTCATTGACGCTTAGAAAGCATTGTTGTGACATTCTAGTGCAGAAGATAGGAATTTGTGTAGTTAGGTAGTACTTATTATAGTTCTCACATCTTGTTTGGAATTAGTAACCCCAAGTTAATTCTTTTGTCACCACGAAAAAATCTCTGTGTATTCAAGTAAGGACCATTTGTTTATTGTAATTTTGATGCTGAAAATTCATTTATCTTAGTTAGAACTATTCCATGTACCCTTTTGAACTTAGAAGCTGAAACTCCTATAGCAGTTTGTTCAGTCTGGTTGTCCATATTTAATATGCACTTGTTATTTGTTTCTCTTGATCTTGTAGCAGTGTGTCAAACTTGTATAAGAAGAAAACTTAAGAGGATCCAATACCCCTCCCCTTCAAGTGAAAAAGAACTACAAGCATAATGTTCTATTCCTTGTTTCTCTTTTTTATCATATATGATGGCATCCATCTGACTCAATATTCTCACAAGTGATGATTTTGCAGCAATGATGATCCAATATTTGGCAATGTAAATCTTGGTAGTGCTGATGGTTTATGGTCCTCATCCAAAGAGGTAACAAACAGCCCTGGAAAATCCTTTCTTACGAATGTGGATTCTCCTAACCCAGCTCTTAGGAGCACATCTGGACATTTGGAAGTCCAAAGAGGATATGAACAACAAGAGAACCAGTCAGTTACCCTTAGTTATGGGAAACTGGATGATTCCACATCTCATGGTCTGCATAATTTGGAATTACGCGGAGATAAAAGCAAATCTGTAATGGAGAAGCAGGTGTTAAATATTAACATGCAGTATAATCAATTCTTAGTTACTAATGCTTTTAACTTAGACAATCAATCCAAAGTAGGAACATAATTTCTATTTTTGCTTCCTCAGACAAATGTAACGATTGTGGGCAAGATTGGTTCATCGAAGTCTCATCCGTTTGTAGAAAAAGCTGCAGCCCCTAATGAGCTGGGCCCTATGGTATTCCTATCTTGCCCTTATGCTTAACTATTCAAATTATCTTGTGTTTCTGGTGCTTATCTTCAAGGTTTAGAATAAAATACTATCTTTCATTTTCCTGTAACAAGGTTTTATGATGTCTCAGTCATTGTGGACTGACTGAATTGTAATTGCAAGACTTTGAACCTTTTTGTAGATGCTGATACATCTAGGAGTTTGTAATTGCTAATTGATTCTGAGAGTGTATTACTGTATTCACATGTCCAGTATAAAATTTATTATGCTAAAAAGACACCTTGCATTCAGGCAGCAGCTAAGGTTGAAACATTTTAAAGCTGGCTAGCTATATATGGTGATATAAGTTTTTCTCTCTTACCTAATTACCTTGTATGACCAATGCAAATTGTGTTTCTCTTGCTTTTCCTCTTTCTTTTTCTTCCCTTGGAGTTTGGAGGCCGCTGTGAATAAGCAATATATAAATTATCGACATTAATTTATCATCTTTATAAAGTTAGACCTTTGCTCCAAGAGGTGAATATTGTATTTTTCATTTAATATTTCTCTGTGCAGGCGTATAGGCAGAAAAGGCTGTTGATGCTTCGAAGAAAAACTGAAGAAATTGGTATGGCAAAGCAATTACAAGATTTACATACCTGGACTCCAGCTGGAAATCCATTGGGTCAATATGAGAATAATGTGGCAACCTTGATGCTAAAATCTTCTCCATCTTCAGTTATGAGTCAGCGGAGGCAGCTTCAAGGATCTGACTCACTGCAGTACCAGCATGTCTCCAATATGCTTGTGGCCCCTTCTACGTATGGGAATCTTACGAACCAATATCCTGCAATACCTATGTTACCCAACATCCAGTCTGGGGAATTTAATCAGCAAACCGAGATTCCTTGTTATGATGATTTCCCTGGCCAGACAAATCCTTTAAAAATGTCAGTTTTGAGAATGACACCTCAAGAAAAAATTGAAAAATTGAGACGGCGCCAGCAAATGCAAGCACTGCTTGCCATTCAGAAACAGCAGCAACAATTTACTCATCAAGTTCTTTGTACCAATCAATCTGTCATTCAAAAATCAACTCAAGAAAATCAGTTTCAGCATCTGGCGGGAGCTGATGTTGAAGACCTTAACACTCTTGCTTCTTTTGACCCGAACTCACCTCTAGAGCAAGATGATTCTAGTACGGTCTCTGTTGCAATTGATGACTATTCTGTGGAGGATACTGTACTTCATCAGCTACAAGAAATAGTTGCAAAGGTATGCTCGACTTGCAGTTGAAATTCTGCCTTTCTGGTCATGAGGATTTAGTGACATCTAGAATCAATTTTTGCAGTTGGATGTGAGGACTCGACTTTGCATAAGAGATAGTTTGTTCCGGTTGGCTCAAAGTGCAATGCAGAGGCATTCTGCTAGTGAGACAAGCAGCACTAATAAAATTGTCAGGGATGAAATTGAAGTTGCTAAAGAAGGAAATAAAAACTATAACAGGTTAGAAGACTCTATGCTGGTGCAGATATATATTCATGTCAAAGGTGAAACTGATTTTGTGTTATCCTTCTAAAGGTTAATCTCTGTCATGAAC